AAGGCAATCTAGAGGAAATTAAATCCTTAATGGATTGATTTATGCAAGCCTCTGACATGGTAGTTAATTGGGGAAGCAAAACACAAGGATGGTGGATCCATTCCAATGGGGACCGCCCACCAGATACGATCAGAGTGAAGTGGTTGCCCCTTGAGGTCCCAATGAGAGTATTGGGGGTGCTCCTTACAACAGAAAGGAAACCTACGAGATGCGGTTCATGGAGACCCTAATTTTCAGACAACTTGTCATATGCTATTTATAACAACATTCAAGGGCCGTTTTAACCAAACTTGCCACCAAGTCATAGAGTAGAGATCATAGTTACTAAATGCAAAAATAAAAAAACTTATAAAACAGCAAGGCAAAAGTGCACTTTCATGCTAGGCCACCAGCCAGGCCGCTCGGGTCCCAGGTGGCCATCCCGTGCAAGAACCAGGGAAGGTACAAACAAAAAACTAAAAAAAACAAAAAAAAAAAAACCAAATCCGAAAAAAAAACTTTGTTATGCAGAAAAATAATCTGAACAACTTTTGCCTCAGGGTCAAATCGAAATTCCTTACCAAATTTAAAATAAAAAATAACTTTTAAAAACTAGATTTTTATTTTTATTTATTTTTTATTTTTTTGGCCCGGCCGGGCAAGTGACCCCGGGCCACTCTAGTAGCCTAGCTTTCATGCAAATTTTGCCAACATTCCATCTTGAGAAATTTCAGAAATCTTAGCAGATGAAATTTCAATGCTCCCAATGAGACCAAAGTTGGTACACAACAACTTTGGGACCCGTTAGTTGGGAGCTGAAATTGGGGGTCCACATTACGCACGTGTGAGACCTACTACAAATGATGTGTGGATTACTAGACCAAGACTTAAAAAAGATGGAAATTTGAGAAATAGACATTCGTTTTTGTTTGTCCGTGCTCTCATCATTAATCATGTTGTTGTGTTAGCCTACATATGTTACAAATCGACAGTCTGGTCATTGAGTAAGATTCCTAATAAAGGATCAAAAAAATTCTTATTGTTTTTTTGTGACGAGAAGATCATGAGTCCCTTCATGTGAATGTGAATGTGAATGTGAATGTGAATGTGAATGTGAATGTCTTATCAACGCAGTTGAACAGCGTACACGTGGCGCAAAATTGCGCACAATCCACACAGGAGTCAAGTCGTACAAAAAAACAATAGGTTCACTCACTCTCATTCCACACACCCAAGAACCACCATTCATTGCACTGCGCTGAGCATGGCTCAACTCCGGAACCTGAAGGGTTTTTTCCGTATGACCTCACTCCTTATATAGTTTCGTTCTATAAAATGGTCCGGTATTCTAGGTTTTTCCACGAGCTTCTAGCAGGAGGGCCTATTACCACTAGTGCAGCGATCAGACCGACGCTATAAACCCTATTTCACTGTGTCATCCAAAATGGGTCATTAACCGGAGCACCGTCTACGCTATTCGAAACCGAATTAAGGGATATCTACCCTTCCAATGACTAACCCTCCACACAAATCATACTAACAAAGAGACCCCCTGTCCGTTTTCAAAAAAGACTACAGCTCCTAATATCTCCAAAGATAGCCCTGACAGAGCCCTGTCCGATTTCAGAACTGAGTGTACAGTCTCAGTACAGTGTGTCCCCCAATCGTTAGGCACATGTGAGTTTCAGAGCGACTTCCCAAATTTTATCCTTACCGACGGTGAACCGACACAAAACTTTTTCGAAGAAGTCATAGGGAAAATCCCTCTTACCGAGCTCTTTCTGCAAGGTCAGTACTCGCATAGGAATTTCGGATCGGATAGACGTATTCCGATCTATGCAGTGTAACTAGCCACTAATAACAACGCTTTTCTGTCTTTTGCATCCCCAAGATAAGTAGGACTTACCGTTCTTATGCACCAGTGGCCCGTCTGACCAGGCACAATCATCATTCTTTGATACCTGTACACAGCTCATCATAGGGTATCCCTGCTGCGAAACAACTTTGCAGCCCAAAAAATCCAACGTTCCTTGGCTATCATCCGTTTGCTCCAGAACCAACCCATCTGGATAACACCCTCGGAAAACAATAAGTAAAGAATCGCGATCTGTTTCCTTCTTCCAAGCTAGAGCAAAGAAAACATCATCCATCAGTCGAGTCGCAAAAATGTACCGTTCACATCGACCCAGGCTTCTCATCAGCTTGAATTATGAGAAAGCACAAAGGATACATGCCAACGGCGGACTCGTACTCTTACCCATCGGGATGCCCAACTCTTGTTTCAATAGAATTCCGGTGGCATAAAAGTACGTGTTCCGCAGATCAATGTTCACAAAAGTTCGAATGTCTTCAAAGTCCAGTTGCGTCCAATGGTCAGCTCCTGTTGTCCTACCAAAACTTGTTCCTCTTCCCCGAGTATTTACCCGGATTTTAGTTCGATCTTTGGAGATGTGCCAGTCGATTAACCAATTTACAGCATCAATGATCGCACAGTGGGGCAGCTTCGTAAACATTTCCTTTATATCAAAGGAGAGCACCGTTGTTGTACACTTTTCTCCCAATCTTCCCAGCTTCATGTTCCCTCGTTCAAGTGTCGACACCAAATCCGACACAGATCGGAGATTAAAATGCCTGTTTCTAGGGATCGTGTACAGGAGATGATTCAAAGATTTTGAAAACAACTTCCCTGTCTTTACCAACGGGTCTGTAAAAGACGGATATATAGGTCGAAAACGGCTTAAATCCTTGTATTTCGGAATCACATATGCATTCCCAAAGTTGCCCTTTGTGTCAATGCGTGCGAACTTGGTGAGACCATTTTCAGATACGTCCTCGACAATTTCGCGAACAATACATGAACTTGGTTCCCTCACGATACTGTAACCGGAGTTCAAAACGAACGTACTCATCATGGCATCAAAATACAGATGCGGGCACATGACCACTGTCTCTCCCGAATTTCGATCCACCGAAGTTATCACTAGATCCTTCAACCTAATACATAAGACCTCCACTTCTTCTAATGACACAAAATTACCCAAATGCGGGGTCGCATTCCCCTCGACGAGGCAACCTTTGACAAGATTACGGTCAAAAGTAGGTGGATTGCCTCGAAGATTTTCCACCTGAGAAAACCTTGGAGCAGTTCATTCGCCAAATCCTCCTCACGCCTTTCCTTGTGCTTATGAGGTATGTTATTAGCATTAGCTAAGGCCGGCGACACTCTTGCAAGTTCCCAGAGCCGAACGATAACATGGCCTCCCCTCCTTGGGTAAGGCATACCTGTACACGTACAGGTGAGCACATTGCGTTTTGCATAAGAATGCTGATTGTGCAATAGGTCCACGATCGTGGGATTTTTTGTCCCTGCGATACGCATCTTCTTGCGAGCTCGATACAGGAAACCAACAGGAAGGTCACATTCCATAAGAGCGTCATTTGCTATCTTACGAACCTCGTTCATACGAATCCTATCATCAAATTGAATTTTAACGACCAGGTCAGCTGTCAGACTAAGTCCAAAATTTTCTCGAAACTGACGAGAAATCAGTCGTCGTAGATATTTTCGTGTCGATTTGCGAGAGAAGTCCTTGCTTACATTATAAACCCGAAGGCACGAGTTCAGATCCCAATTCCTCAGCATGCATAACTTCCGAGGATTTTTCAGTATTTGGATCAACATACCTTTCAAGAACCCGCACCGAGGTTGCCATTTACAAACATACGTAATTTCAAAACTTATTCCCTTCTCTAGTCTTTCACGATAATTTTTCAGCCGAACAATATCAGTTCCAATGTTCAACTTAGATTCGCCGAAGGTTTTTTTTTAATCATGCCAACGAGGAAACCAAATATTTCCACCCCCAGTCCACACTTGTCGAGGCAAGCGATCTTCATTCTTGACCTTATCGAGTATTCGATATAAGTCAAATTCTCATTCTGAGCCTCCTTGCAAACATAACTTAATAGGTTTTATCCTATTAGGATCAGTTTTTTGCTCACTGCTCTCCTTTCTTCTCAACCTCTCCCTACGCCCAGGTTTATTCCTTTGATATTTCTTCTTTGCCTTAGCAATTCCTAACGAATTAAGAAAAGGTGACCATCTTTTTATGTACGTAAGTTCAAGTTTAGTCAGGTCTGTAGCACCGAGCACATCCACAGGTATGAGGCAGTAATTTCCGGCCCCGAAACTCAACAACCAGCGATGAAAGTGTGACTTAGATCGAGTTCTACTAGCTTTGAAATGTTCTCTCCAGCGTACCGTGACCCTACGTGTAGTCTTGCCCACATACGTATGCTTGCAATATGGAGAAATAGCCACATAAACACAGTCAGATAGATTTACAAAATCGACACCATGCTTATTGTACAACTCAATCCAATTATGCAGACACTTAGCTAGCCACTTAATTGCATCGTTAACCGTCAAAAACAAAATTACCGTAACGAGCACAACGTCTATTCGAGCATCTATAATGTTCGTGTTACATCGCCATTTCGTAAGGAATCGACAGATCGCCCACAGCTGAGGCACTCATAAGTCCCATTAGAGCGTTGCATAGTCTCTCTCTTTCAGTTCGACGGATTTCGTCGCCTCCGAGTCTTCAATGTGTATAGTTTCCGGCTGTCCTTCCAGAGCTTGCTCCTCACCAAAGTGCACAAAGGTGCGATGCTCCGCGATATCGAAGATCGCGCCGACTTTCCCATCGTATGGTACTCCCTCTTCTCGACAAATTCGTTGCAGTTCATTTGCGTCCAACTGCTTCAACTCCATCATCATCCGATTGCATATCTGTATCGCGCAAGAATTTTTTTTACTTATGGTGTTGCCAGTCCCGGCGTAATCGGTGCCGTTTCCTTTTTCTTCGCTGACAGAGGAGTTTGAACAGCGTTTTGCAGATCCAGGCAAATTCACGATTTTTGCACGAGCACGAGTCAGTCTTCCAGTGAATGTCACAGACTTGCGTCCTTGCTTAGGTGTCTTCCTTGCAGGAGACTCTATCGGCGAGATTTGACCATGCTTCTTACGCTTGCGTTTATCCGATATAGTGAGTTCAACCGTCTTCTCGCTGAGCTCCTGAGTGATACTGGCTTCGCTCTCGTCACTGCTGCCGCTGGGTTCCAACTTCGGCGCGTCTCTTTACCTTTATCACTCAGCAACTGGTGTATCCCCGCAACAGCCTGCCGCATATGTTCGACAAATTTGTCTTCCAACTCGTGAACCTGCAAGACCAGCTGCATGCTTAGATCCTTTTTCAGCTTCGCACGACTCTCAGCTTCTCGTCGCTTCTTTTCTCTTTTTTTCTTGGCTTACTCCTCCCGGCGCGCTTGTGCCTCAGCTTCCTGAATCCGTCGCTCCTCTTCACGTCTCTTCGCCTCCTCCATCTCCTGCTTACGTCTTAACCGGTTCTCCTTCCGTATCCTCTCCTCCTCAAAATGTTGCTGTATGGTTGCCACACTCCTCCCCAAATCACTGATCTGTTGTTTAACCCTAGGATCAAGCTGCGATGGCGGATCTCGTCTCCAGTCTCCCCCTCGTGGGGACCTCGATCTCCTTGAATCTGACGATGTCGACGGGCGTGCCCCGCCATATTTCCTCGGCCGCGTACATTGATTGGCATAATGGCCAAACTTCTGACAGTTATAACAAGTCGGTCCTCTTTTTCGATCACTGCGATCCCGCTCCTCGTCACGCATGCCTCGCTCACGCTCCTCACGTCCTCGATCATCGTTACCGCGCGGATCACTCGCATGATCCCGACGCTCCGAATTGGACATTTGACTTGATACGATAGGCAAGTCTCCAGTTCAGGTAGAGCACAATTACTTACAGGCGCCCACCCCAATCACCTAGTATCGTGTAAACAGTCTTACGACGCTCACTCACCGCCGGCATACCATCTCCACCAGAGTTCACGTTAGCATTGCATATGTGAATGTGTTATCAACACAGTTGAACAGCGTACACGTGGCGCAAAATTGCGCCCAAACGACACAGGAGTCAAGTCGTACAAAAAAAACAATAGGTTCACTCAATCTCATTCCTTACACCCAAGAACCATCATTCGTTCCACTGCGCTGAGCATCTCCAAGAACCACCAGTCGTACAAAAAACCCTTCATGTGATCCCAAGAGTGACCTGGGACAAAATTATTCAGCCCAAGGCCAAAGGGGGTTTGGGGATTCTGGACCCAATGATACAATGCCAAGCATTGCAATGACTCAAAATTTTGACCTTCGGAACTGAACTTCGATGGCAAAGTTTGGTAGTGGAACAAATCCATAGGTTAGCCCCAGTGACAATATAAGGGCATACTCACACGGGGACGTATAATCCCAAAAATCCCAAAAAAAAGGGGAAAAGGCTGGTCACACGGATCTACCAAATCCGGAAATGCACTATTCCAGTGCCCATTTGTCAGCGGTCTGGGAAGCCGCAGGGCAAGGGATTTTGCGGTCACCTCTGGAGGTGACCGGAAATTCCCTGTTTTTTTTTTGCATTTTTTTTTTAATTTGGCAAAATATCGTTCACAAAAGTTCTTGCACAATTGGTGGATGGCGCCGCATGACCAGCCAAGTACTAAAACCCCATTTCTCCAGACGGCCGCGACCTTGTCCCATCTGAAAAGGCACAACAGTGTGATGTGAACCATGCCCAAAACCTCAAATCGGCCCTTCCCAAATCCGCATATTTTGTGGATTTGGGGTCGTCGTGTGATTATGCCCTAAGAGAGACCGATTCCCTCACATCGGTGAAGGATCGTTCTTGGGGTATTCCTCGGGCGCATGCCTTTTCACGCAAAGAAGGGATTAGGGGAGGGGGGCTTTGTTTTGGACTGTTACAATGTTGGCGCAGTCTTCCTCCACCCAGCAAATCCCGTCCTTCAAGGTGCAAAGAAATTCTTCATCAACCCATTTTTGGCGATCGTTGGATCACGAATGCAAATGGAAGGGTTTATATAATAGCCTTGATCCCGCTTGGTCTCTTTGGGTTAAAAATGGCTTCGTGAGAGTTAAGGATCTATGGGAGTCGGGGGAGAAGACTTGGACATCTATGGAAAAATTTGAGAAGAGAAATAAATCATGCAAATAATCTAATCTATGAAAACGAGTGGATCTCAGACAATTACTTTCTTCCCATTGGTGTGGTTGTGGTTACTATACATCAGATGAAAGGATCTAAAGGCTTCTGGTTGCTATACCTCAGACGGAAGGATCTAAAGACTTCTCGTTGTCACAAAAGCAACAGGCTGCCAGGATAACTCCACGTAGAATTGTGAGGTTCCCGGCCTCGTCCCATTGGTTGATTTTGTAATAAAATTTCCAAGCTTTCAAAAAAAAAAAAAAAAAAAAAAGGACAACGTAGCTTTCCTTCCCTTTAGCGCCCTATACAGGATTGGAGTGATGTTCTGTTCCTTTTCAAAAGGATGGCAAGTGTTCCACCTGAAGCTCCCTATCTCGGAGCTCCCACTGGACCCAATGGAATGGGTTTGGAGACCCTTGGAAATGACTAAACCAAAGAAGTTACAGGTGTCTGTTAAACCACCTCCCTGCGATGGCCACAAATTCGGGGGCAAATTCGGAGGGAGCGGTTTTTCAAACTATGCTACCGGTAGCTCTAATGAACCTGTGCTATCGGTCCCCCAAATTTGTTGCCATCTGTTAAACCACCAGTACTTGGCCCAACTATCGATGTCGGGCCTGGAATGCCCATGCGCGCCAATTTTCACCGAAGCGCCGGGGTACCGTTTCGAAATGTTTTTTGCGGGCGCGTCCAGCCATTGTGGTCCGGTACCCCGAAGCCCTAAAGGCGCGGCACGTTAACGAGAAAGCGCCGCGGCCGATAGTTGGGCCAAGTACTGGTGGTTTAAGGCATCCTACCATCTGTTAAGGCCCAAAGTGAGCGTGATAGCCATACAGCAGGAGCGGTGGGCTAGACATCTAAATGTATACTTGGACTCTCTCAAAGCTATACCATGGTGCGAAGGGTACAAGGAGGCGACTAAGTTTGCCTCGCTGCAATGGCAGATCTCCCAGATGTCTTCCAAAAAAAAATTTGTCCATAGAGCATTCGACCCTGGAGCAGCGTGGTTTAGCCCTCCCCTAGTGTCAGGCATGCGTTGAAGCCTTCCCAAGTGGGAAAATCAGAGAGACTACAGAGCTAGGCTACCAGAGTGGCCAAGGGTCACTTGCCCGGGCGGGCCGAAAAAAAAAAAAAAAAAAACTAAAAATGAAATATTTTTATATTTTAAAATTTATTTTTAATTCAGTGAAGAATTTCGATGTGACCCTGAGACAAAAGTTGTTCGATTTATTTTTCTGCTTTGTGTGTCTTCACACTTTGTCTGTCACCATACCATCTCAACTCGTTTACAACGCACGTGAACTTGCCTGGGGAGGATTACCAGGTTTGGAGTAAGCGTGCATTGGTGTTACCCTTACTGGTGTTTCGCACCGTTCCAAGATGTCGACCTCTGGGCGACGGGAAGAAGATCGAGATAGCTACGATCGAAGACGCGAAGATGAACTCGGTAGCCGAGATCGTCGGCCGTACCGACCGGTGACTTGCTTCAACTGCGATGAAGAAGGGCACTACGCCAACCAATGCCCTCAACGGGGCAGAAGGGTCAGTTGACCCTCTACATCGACGGATTCGCGACGCTCGCGTTCGCCAAGACATTCCGAGTATGGCCGTCGGCCTAACCCGCAAGGGGAATCGAAAATGAGGGCTAAGGTGGCGGAGTTATCAAAGGGCATCGCGACAATTAAGGAACACTTCGATGAAGCACGCGCCAAGAAGGAGGAGAAAGCTCGTAAGAAGTGGGAGAAGGAGCAACTAAAGGAGGAAGCTAAGCGTAGGGAAGAGGAAGGGAAACGGGAACGAGCGGAGGAAGCAGCGAGACGTGCAGCAAAGAAGAAGAAGAAAGATGAGAAGGCCAAGAAGGAGGTCATCGCGAGAGCCGAAATGAAGAAAGAAGTGACACTATACGCGGTGAAGATGATCTACGAAATTAAAAATGACTGGCTCCATGAATGGAAGTCGACTCTGTTACCAGGGACCACAGGCGGAACTAAAGACGTGAAGGGGAAGAAAGCGGTGGAGTTCATCTTCGATAATGATGAACGGTCGGACTACAACTCTGAAGGCAACGAGACTAGTGTTACACAAGAACTAAGTGAGAAGACGTGTAGACTTTGCCTATCCGAGAATAGGAAACGGGAAGAGGATGTGAAGATGGAGGATAGTCCTCCAATGGAGCTGCCAGCGAAGCGGACACCGGGAAGATTGGGCCCCAAACCCCGCATTCCCAACGCACGCTTGACTCGCTCGAAGAGTATGGCGAAGGGTCCGCGCACGACGATCCCTGCTAAGATACGCACACCGGTGAAGATTCCGTTGTCGAAGATGAACAAGTCGAAGAAGACGCCTCCGACTGGGAGATTGACTCCGGCAAGCAAAGCGCTAGCCAAATTGCGGTTCCGCGACGCAATCATTAAGGAGATTAAGGATTGTAATGCCGATGAACTGCAACGTATGTGTCGTGAGGAGGGCTTACACTACGATGGCAAGTTGGACGCCATCTTTTGCCTCGCTGAACACCGCGCGCAACGACACTTTGGACGGGACGGAGTCGTCAAAGAAATCGAGGTGCGCCCAATCGAATTGGGAACAACGGAAGCTGAAGAACCCGTAGGGACGGAAGGGTTATTGGAGGTACCTCTGACTCAATGGTGAGAGTTATGCAGATACGCCACGAAGCTTCGATATTCCCAAGGTTGTACGAATGGTCAGTGGGAGGAACTGCTATGTCTAGTAGTTATTCTGCTAGCCTTAAATGATCAGATCTGCTGGCTTAACAGGTATGTGGGTACTTGACTACAACTGTACGATATACACGATTTAGATTTCTTGGGATTGACGAACGTGGTGTACATGGCAATTTCCCCCTACTGTAAGGCTTGTTATGTCGGGAAGACAACACGAACTTGTATCGTGAGATGGCGGGAGCATTTGTATGCGGTCAGGAAGAAGACTCAGTCCCATTTCCATAGATGGATTGCGTCATTTGGGTGCGGTAACTACTTGTTGGTTCCTGTGGATATTTTTGTGGGCAAGGACTTGACCAAACTCGAGAATCTCTATATCAGTCGTTGGTCACCGTTTCTGAACACTGTGGGGGTAAGGTCCAAGAAAGCATGTAGGAAGAAGAAACCAGGGAGAAAGGAGAGGGAAAGGAGGAGAGGGAAGAAGACTTTCCGACCACCGAAGGCAGTTAGACCCGTCCGTTTCTTTTTGGAAGAAAACGAATGTGGCTTTATAGATCTGCATGCCTTTTTAGAGGATCGACTGGATAAAGGTAATCGACCTTGTTTGATACATTCAGAAGGGGGGACAGATTGGGCACCTAACTGGAAGACTATTCGTAAGACCTTTGGGAACACTAAGTTGATTTCTCAGTCGCAAGTGTGTACCCTTAAGGAATGTAAGGAAAGACTGGAAACGGGGGGGGTTGGGGAAATTGTGCATATAGTTAAGTGGAAAGCTAAGCGGGGATATTTGAAGAATGTGTTTATCGGGATCTTACGGAACCCACAGAAGTTGTATGATATTCACCGTTGGGGTGTTAAGGCGTGGTTACAAATTTACCACGCAATCAAGGACTTTAGCAGGAAGTCAACAAGGAAGTATCTGCGTAGGCTGATTTCGCGAGGATTTCACGAGAAGTTTCAGTTGAGTCTGGCATTTGATCTTACGTTCAGGATTAAGTTTGATGACCGAATTGTGATTTCGGAGGTAAGGAAAGTGGTAAATGACTTATTGATGACTTGTCAACAGCCGACGTGCTTTGCTCTTCGTGCATGCAGGAAGACTCGCATCGTAGGGACCAAGAACTCTACGATAGCCGACCTTTTGCACAACCATAGACCTGTTGCGACTAATGGTGTGTTTACCTGTGCTTGTACAGGTATGGACTTCCCGCGTGTTAATGAACACGTCAAGTTTCGACTCAGCGAGGTAGCGGACTTGCACCCATTGCTGTCGAATGCAAACAACATGCCTAGGATCGAGGTGCCAAATAGACTGGAGCTTTTGCGCACTGAACTGCGTGAGGGTTTTTCGAATTGGAGGAATTTGGGGGGTGCGATTCCCGATTGTCAAAGGATCGATTCATCCGCATGTTTGACGCCGGGGAATGAACCGTCGTCCTACTTATTTTTGAATGATGTTGTCACCTTGAAATCACGCCTGGAAGGATTAATTATCTCACCTGTTGATAGCAACCCGGGGGAGTCTGTCATCATGTGTCCTGTCACGTATCATGAAGCAATGATGAGCACTTTCATTGCAATCCCGGTTACCGAATTGTAGATATCTCGGAGGGAGAAATCTTGCGGGAAATCCGTGAAGATACCCAACGACGAGGAATCAACAAGTCGGTAAGTTGGGATACCAAGGGGTCGTTTGGTGCAGCATATGTAATCCCAAAGCAGAAGGATCTGGATAAGTTTAGACCCATATGTCCGTTGTTTAATAAACCAATGGTAAAAATTGCATGGTTGATGAGTAAGGCGCTAAACCACCTCCTGAGTAGGTTGCCAAAGAGGTGGCACTTCAACCTGCACGCTGTTTGTGATTTGTCAATGCAATTGGAGGGGATCAGCAAGAAACTGGACAATTTTTTTTTATTTTTTTTTTTCCCCCCCCAAAAAAACAAGCTCCATCTATTGGTGGGGAGCAGCACCTGCTGGAAACTGGGTCCAGCGTCCCTGAAATACATCATGGCATTGATTGGTTCATATGAATGAAGGAAAATGCGTATGATGGAAATGACGGCGATGAAAAAAATAGAATTGTACTATCTTAGCCGTTTTGGCCTCCTAATCCTAGAACAACTCCTAGCTTTCCCTTACCATGATATTCCAACTCAGGGACAAGACCAACCTAACCAACGACCACCATAACTGATCTCTTCTCACCACCTAGACTAACCCCACCCCATAGGTTGTCGAGGCAGCCCCCCCGGTTCACCATTGGTTTGCTTTCCTCCCTCTGCTAACCCCAGATCTCTCTACAAGGCCTCCCACTCCTGCCCAATTGCAGGTTACAGGGCTACGCCCCAGCTCCGGCCAGCGTCGTTCTGGCATCGGCGATCCAGGAGCATAGAANACAAGGCCTCCCACTCCTGCCCAATTGCAGGTTACAGGGCTACGCCCCAGCTCCGGCCAGCGTCGTTCTGGCATCGGCGATCCAGGAGCATAGAATAGAGCAGCGCAGCAGTTATCAGTCCAGGTTTGACGATCTCTGAATTCCTATATCCCTAGTGAGGTAGAAGACAGGGTGCCGCCTAAAATTATGAAGCACCAGAGGGCTTGTTTTGAGTTTTTGAAAATTCCGAAAAAGATTTTATTGGATCTAAAGTATGTGGATATATCAGCAACTCCGGCTTCCTAATCCGAGGGCAACTCTTAACCCTCCCTGTACCAGGACACTACTACTCAAAGACAGTATAAGCCAAACAACATCCACCATAGCTGACCTCTTCTCGTCACCGAGACTATCCCCGACCCCGAAGGGCGTCAAGGCGCCCCCCCCAATTCACCACTGGATTGCCTTCCTCCCTCGACAAACCCCAGATCTCTCTACAAGGCCTCACGCTCCTACCGTAGCAGGTTACAGGGTAACGCCCCAGCTYCGGCCAGCGTCGTTCTGGCATCGGCRAGTTAAGAGCATAGAACRGAGCAACCATACTGATGTCAGTCCAGGTGTAACCATCCCTGAGATCGAAGATCCTAACGAAGAAGAAAGTCAGATGCTGCTCTAACTCTCAGAACCTCGGAAAGCTGAATGTAACATGTAGTCACTTCGCATAGAAAAAAAATTCCCCTATGCCACCACCCCTGTCCCGCGCTGCCTCCGCCGACGAGATTCACCTCGACCCCAACCTGGAACAGATCCCCTCCCTCCCCCCTCTGCCAAGACAACCAATTCCCGCCTAGAGGTTGTCTTCGCCCTCCCCTTTGTCCCTATCTGCCCCCGCCGGGCTTGAAGGCGACCAACTCTCCCACCCCGGCCCCAGACAAGGACAATCCACAAATCTGCCCCACCCCCGACAGGGCAGCCACCTCCCACCATGCAGCGCCCCTGTAGAGTAAGGCTCCCCAACACCTTCCCCACCCATTCCCCAAAAATCCACACGTGACCACAAAAACTCTAGCCCAATGATATGATTGATGATGATCGTGATACAATGAAAGGTCTCGGTTGATGATATGATTGATGATGATCGTAATACAATGAAAGTTCTCGGTTGATGGTAATAACGTTGAAGATGTTGATGATTTTTAGAAAAATGGATGACCAAAAACGGCTCCCAGCGGATGATAATACTGATGACGAGAATCAACTTCAGTTGGTAAAGATAACGATGAAGGTAAATGATGTTGATGATGATGATGATGATGACGATGATGACTGATGACAAGAATCGACTTCAGATGGTAAAGATAACGATGAAGGTAATGATGATGATAATGATGACGATGATGATAAGGATGATATGTTAATGATGATGATGATGACAATGATGATGATGATGATGGTGATGATAATGACAAAGGATGATAATGGTGCTAACTCACACCTAAGATGATGAACTAATGATGATACTGATAAGGATGAACAACGCCAATAGCGCCCTAAGATAGTAAACTATTGATGATGGTAGCACTGCTGATAATGCTAACGTGGAAAATGATGATGGTGATGGACAACGCCAATAGCGCCCTAAGATAGTAAACTATTAATGATGGTAGCACTGCTGATGATACTAACGTAAAAGATGATGATGATGACAAACTACACCAGTGGACTTATAGTAGTGACAAAATCTACCTTGATGATGAGGACGAGTTGTACCCTGACGATGATGACGGTGATGACAAGCAGCATCCTGATGATGATGACGAAACCCTCACCCCGGTGGTGATGTCGAAGCATGCCTTGTTGATGATGATGATGATAACTATGATGATGACGAGCAGCACCCCGACAAGCAGCCTCCTGGTGACGGTGACGAAACCCTTACCATGGTGGCGATGATTCCAAGCAGCTCCAATGCAACGATGCCAGATGATGTCGTTGAAGAGGATGACAACCCACGCGCACTTCAGGTCCCAAGGGCTGACTCCGCTGTGCTCCACAGGCGCGGACGAACCCAACGCCTCATGGCCCTATGCCACGGGCAGAACCGCAGCGACGATGGGGCAAAACGCAAAACTCCCGAGTTACCATCGGGGGTCGGTCTATCCTCCACGTCAGCCAGTGACGTGGCCTAGACCAGCGCCTCCAGGCCCTGCGCGTGCGCTACGCGCTGGAATTGCCGGCTGGAAGATCACCACCTCCTGCCATCGCCCCGATATCGCGCTCCAGCTTAGAACTCCGCCGTGGTTGATGTCGGGGCGCAGCGCTCCCGGTAGCGCTGCGCCCCCGAGGTTTGTTACTCTTTTTTTTTTAAACACGGGCAAGAAACTGGACAGGTTACCAGGTGACCGATTGATCAGTTCTTACTCCTTCGACATCAAGGAGATGTTTTCCAAGCTGCCCCACGAGTCGATCTTGAATGCGGTAGATTGGATCATCGATCATCATAGGATGAAGGGTCACGAATTCGTATGGGTTAACACGCGAGGAAAGGGGACTTCGTTCGGTTTGACTAGGGGCGCTGATCACTGGAAGAAGCTCGATCTGATAACAATTAAAGAGTTTGTACACTTGGAAGTGGAACACACCTACTTCTTTGCTACTGGAGTTTTGCTCAGACAGGTAGTAGGTGTCCCCATGGGTAAGAGCATGAGTCCACCCATTGCGTGTATCATGTGTGCCTTCTCTGAGTATCAAATGACTTGCTCACTCGGACGAAGTTGCAGAATGTTCGGGGCGCTAAGACTGATCGATGATGTGTTACTGATCGTTTCAAGTCAGGATGAGGAGACACGTAGCAAGATCGTCAGGACTTTGACGGATTGTTACCCAGGTGGACTCATGCTGAAAAGAACGGACTATGGATCAGGCAAGACTGAGTTCTTGGGTTGCGAAATCCGAACCCAGCAGTCTTACCCGTTTGTGGGATGTGTTCAGCTGTCAAGGAACGAAAAGTGCCTCTGGAACCAGGACAAGTTGACTATACAAAACGGTCAGTCATTCCATTCTTGGGGTAGTAAGAAACAGAAGAGTGCAGCTATTGGTAGCCATTTGCATCAAATCCAACAAAACACTTCGGGTGTTGGGTTTGCAACGAGATTTGGTCAAGAAGGATTTCCCGTTGAGGTTTGTAAACAGGACCTTCCAACGGTTCGGCAGCCAGCGGGACGGCTTGTGGAGAAAGACTATCGAATTCGTGTGTGATGAGTAGCTAGAGCTATGCGTGGACAGGGTTAGCACCGTAAGCGGTAGGAGCAGTTCTTGGATTGTGTATGCATGATCGGGCAGGCTCGTTTTTAGCCTCGTTGTTAGCCTTGTATTTTGCCTGTCGTTTTGGTCTGTACTAGTCTGCTGATTTTGTAGAGGAACCTAGTACCGGTTAGGTGCTCACGGATTTCGGACCTTGGCGCTTCGAGCATTCGGTCCTGGGTCCGTACCTGACCCGGTTATACGTTGTGTCTGCTACCAGTGGTACTTGGTTCTTCGTATTTTGGGGTTACTCCGGTCAACCGGCCTCAGCTGAGGAGGTAGGACCGCGTAGGAATTTTTTCGTTGATGCTTCGCTATAAATACGTAGGAGTAGATTAGTCACACCTCTTTGGTCCCGTATTTGGCTCCGACCGTGACGACGGCGGATCTCATTACGGGGTGGACTGTTGTACGCGGCGGTTCTTGGGTTTGCTGGGTTGATAAGTGGAACCATCGTTTGTTACTCATTTACATCTACGTGTCATACTTGTGACTATGTGTGTACTGGTCTGTGTGTCTTCACACTTTGTCTGTCAGGTTAATTGATTGTTTAAGT